ATAGCATTGATTTATGCTCTAATCTTTATTATTTCCTGTTGTCTGCTGGTTTTGGGTTTTATTTGCTGTTATTTTTCCAGCTCTTTAAAGTGTAAGGTTAGGTTGTGTTTCTGAGACCTTTCTTCCTTCTTTAGGAAGGCCTGGATTGATATATACTTTCCTTTTATGACTGCCTTTGCTGCATCCCAGAGGTTTTGGGCTGTGGTATTATCATTTTCATTGGCTTCTATGTACTTTTTAATTTCCTATTTTACTTCTTGGTTAGCCCATTCATTCTTTAGTAGGGTGTTCTTTAGTCTCCAAGTATTTGTTATCTTTCCACATTTTTCTTGTGGTTGATTTTGTGTTTTATAGTATTGTGGTCTGAAAACATACATGGTATGATCTCAGTCTTTTTGTACTTGCTGAGTGCTGAAATCTTTCCCAGTATGTGGTCTATTCTGGAGATCGTTCCATGTGCACTAGAGAAGTATTTGTATTCTGCTGTTCTACGGTGAAATGTTTTGAATATATCTCTTAAGTCCATCTGGTCCAGTGTATCATTCAAAGCCATTGTTTCCTTGTTGATTTTCTGTGTAGATGTCCATTGTTCTAAGTGGGGTGTTGAAGTCCCCTACTATTACGGTATTATTATCAATGAGTTCTTTACATTTGTGATTAATTGGTTTATGTATTTGGATGCTTCATATTTGGAGCATAAATGTTTACAATTGTTACATCTTCTTGATGGATACATCCCTTAATTATGATATAATGCTCTTCTTCATCTCTTGTTACAGGATCTATATTAAATTTTAGGTTGTTTGATATAAGTATGGCTACTCCGGCTTTCTTTTGCCACATATTAGTATGAGAGATGGTTCTCCATCCCCTTGCTTTCAGTCTGAAGGTGTCTTTAGGTCTAAAGGGTCTTTTGTAAACAGCATATAGATGGATCCTGTTTCCTTATCCATTCTGTTATCCTAGGTCTTTTGATTGGAGCATTTAGTCCATTGATGTTTAGAGTGAGTACTGAAAGATATGAATTTATTGCCTTTATGTTGCCTGTATAGTTGGAGTTTCTGGTGGTGTTCTCTGGTCCTTTCTAGTCTTTGGTGCTTTTGGTCTTTTTTTTTTTTTTTTTTTTTTTTTGGTCTTTTCTCCCCTCAGAGATTCCCCTTTAAAATTTCTTACAGGGCTGGTTAAGTGGTCCCAAACTCCTTTAATTTTTTGTTTGGGAAATTTTTTATCTCTACTATTTTGAATGGAAGCCTTGCTGGATAAAGAATTCTTGGCTGCATATTTTTCCGATTCAGCACATTGATTATATCCTGCCATTCCTTTCTGGCCTGCCAAGTTTCTGTGGCTAGGTCTGCTGCAAACCTGATCAGTCTTCCCTTGTAGGTTAAGGACTTTTTTTTCCCTTGCTGCTTTCATGATTCTTTCCTTGCCCGAGTATTTTGTGAATTTGACTATGATATGCCTTGTTGATGGTTGGTTTTTGTTGAATCTAATGGGAGTCCCCTGTCCTTCCTGGATTTGGATGTCTGTGTCTTTCCCCAGGTTAGGAAAGTTTTCTGCTATGGTTTACTCTCAAACCTTCTACCCCTTTTTCTCTGTCTTCGTCTTCTGGGAACCCTATGATTCTGATATTGTTCCTTTTCAGTGAGTTCTCTAATTCTTAAATCATGCTCCTTTGACTTAGTTTCCCTCTTTTTTTCTGCTTCATTATTCTCCACAAGTTTGTCCTCTATATCACTGATTCACTGTTCTGCCTCATCCATCCTTGCCGCTGTGGCATCTATTTGAGATTTCAGCTCAGTTATAGCAAATTTTTTATTTTATCCTGAGTAGCTTTTACTTCTTTTATCTCTGCAGAAAGGGATCCTAGTCTAGTTTCAACCCCAGCTAGTATTCTCAGTATTGTGTCTAAATTCCGATTCAGACATCGTGCTTTTATCTGTGTTGATTAAGTACCTGCCTGTCATTTCTTCCTCTTCTATTTTTGGGGTGAATTCCTTTATTTCATCATTTTGAAGGAAGAAAAGGAATTAATAAGATAAAAACAATTAAAATTAAAAAATTAAAAACAACATAAAAAAAATCAAATAAAGAATGCTAGACCCTAGGTGTGGTCTGGTTGTTGAAAGGAACTTGATAGATAAGAGATAAAGGGAATAAGAATAGAAAAAAAAAAAAGAAAAAGAAAAAAAAAAGATACCATTTGAAAATTTGAAAAAATGAATTCACTAAAATAATAAAATGAAGTGATAGAAGTAAAATAGATTTTTAAAAATTTACAAAAATTAAAAAGTAGAAAAAATTAAAAATATTTTTAATAAAAATCAAGAATAAAAATGAATTTTTTCTCTTTTTGTATTCAAAAATAAGAGGAAACAAAAAGGAAAAATATTTAATAGATGGACCATGAAATACAATTGAATTTACATGAGTTTCACCTAGAAGTCAAACTATGCAGCACTTTATATTCTGTAAACTAAGCAGGTGGCAGAGACTTGTGGTGTTCCTGATGAGTGAGGTTGGCCCAGTTGGGGGGGGTTTAGTGTAATGGTTCCAGTATATGGCACTGCCTAGCTTAGTGGGGTTGATTGTTGTGGCACATGTAGGCATGTATTCATGTGCATGGAAGAGGAATAATGATGTTACCAGCTACCCAGTCTCTAGAGTCAGAATTCTGTGCTCTCCCCGACCTGCAGTCGAGCACCCCTCCTTTTTCTCCAGCTTCTGTCCACCCCCCACTTTTACATTTCATGACGAAGCCATCAGGTTGCCAGGTGGCACCTCCCTCCTTAGTTTTATCCCAGGTGTGGCTGTGTTTCCCAACCCCTGACTTCTGAGGGACTATAACTTTGACCTATTCTGACCCTCCGGGGGAGGGTCTCACTGAATACTGTGACCAGGTGCCAACTGCCCCCAGGAACATTTGTGGGACTGTACTGCTGCCCATGGCCAGAGACTATGGGTAGGTGCCAGCCTGCCCCAGAAAAAGTTCATGTGATTGTGTATTAGCAGTGTTTTCAGACTTTATGGAAAATCACAACACAAATCTGGTACCAGGCTTCCCCCTAAACATTCTTGTTCCAACACTAGTGAATGTGGTGAATGTGGTTGTTCTCCAGAGTTTGCAGGGACTGTTGGACATGGGGTGGCTGTACAGCCTCTGCCAAATGTCCTCCCAGCAGGGGAACCACCTCTCCCCATGTGGCCCGAGGACCCCTTGGACCTCACTCTCTGATCCTCGGGTTTCGCCCTTCCCTCCAGAGCACCACTAGATATCAAGCTGTGGAGTTTCAGACTCTGCACTCCCCCTGTTTATAGTCTTAATGGAATTTAAACCCCCTCCTTTCTCCTTTCTTTTTTTATTCAGTCCCTTAGATATTTTTTCTTTTCCCTCCACCTCCTTTCATACTCTTCCCCTGTTGCCATCCTCTCTCTGCAAGCAAAAACAGCTTCCTACCTTCTGTGGCTTCTCTCTCCCCCAGTTTACTTCTCCATGCCCCACACTTGCTGAATTCTCTGGCTCAGATTGTGCAGATTGTTGTGTTAATCCCCAAGTCAGTTTTCTAGGTGTGCAGGATGGTTTAGTGTTGATCTGGCTGTATTTCAGGGATGAGAGATGCAAAAAATCTTCCATGCTGTTCTGCCATCTTGGCCTCCCTGTGATTTTCTAAAAGAAAGGTTTTGAAGCTTGCTTTAAGCTTTTTTAGTTAGAACCAGAGCAGTCTTTAGAGCTTTTTTCCTCACCACTAGTGAGGCAATACTCTTTTGAATACTCTACCTGATGCCTTGTAAATTAGGAGATTTTCCATTCTGGCTGATAAGAGCACTGTTCCCAGCCCTGTCTGGGCTTTGTGTATTGTTCCTTATGATCATTTCACATCTATTTCTTTCCCCGATCTTGGGTAGACTTGACTAGACCCTTCTGCAGCTTTTAAGAACTCTCTGTGTAATCTCCTCTTTAGTATCCTTCCTGGCAAATTCTAGCTGCTTTGACCTTTCCAGACAGACTTCCAGCCCCATCTTCCCAAGTCAACTTGGGTCTGAATGAGTGTCTTTCCTTGTGCTGCTATCTGGAAACTTTCTCAAGGTAGTAAGCTGGAGCAATCATTTTGTTTCTCCTTTTTTAGGGACTATTGTTCTTCTTTACTTGACATCCATCCAGGGTCTGAAAACCCTTTTAATAAAATATACATTTGTAAAAAAGTAATTTCTGATGAAAAATGAAATCTGACTTTTGACACTCCATCTTGTCCAGAAGTGGAACTTCGATTTTAATTTTATAATTATTGAAGTTATATTTTCACAGAACTGTGTTTATATGTTCATTTAACTGTTACTTTTTTCTTTACAATTTAAGTAGTATATTAGAAGTTAAAAGGTATGCTTATTTTAAAAGTAGATCACTAGAAAAACAACATTAAACATGATTTAAACTTGGTTTGCTTTATAGATTAGAAATTCTGCTTTCTTTTAGAAACATTCATGTTATCAAATTCACCCTCGATTTTTTCAAATTCATCTTAATACTTATATTTTTTAGAGAGAGATAGAGAGTGAGTAGAGAAGGACAGAGGAAGAGACAGAATCTTAAGCAGTCTCCATGCTCAGCTGGAGCCCAACCTGGGGCTCGATCCAACAACCCTGGGGTCATGACTTGAGCTGAAATCAAGAGTTGGATGCTCAGATGACTGAGCCACTCAGGCGCCCCTTGTTTTAATACATTTTTAAGAATGTGGGTTTTTTTTTTTATGTGTATTGTTTGGTTATTTGATTGTAAGTGAATTTGTGGGGTGTTTTTTTTCTTTCCACAATTAAGAAACAGCACTTCAAAGGTATACTCACGGTCTTATTTTTACATTGTATTATAAAATTAGTGTAAGCTTTAAAAATACTGATTTCAATCCATAAGTTCAAATATTCAAAGCAAAATAAGAATTTCATTATTTAGATGTTTTAATATTAATGACCTTTTGATATACTTCATCAAATTTTTCTTACAGATCAGGGAACTGATTTTGGATGGCTCTTCAGAGTTAATCCAAGAAGGTCTCAAGAGTGGCTTTCTTCATCCACTTTCTGAAAAATGGAAAAAGTGTAGTGAGTCCATTACTTTACCACTTGATACCTGCAATTTGTCAGAATTATGTGCAATGGCAAAGCATTTGCCTTCTCTGAATGAAATGGAACTTCAGGCATTACAATTGATGGAAGAGGATATGTCTGTTACAGAACAGGATTTATTTTCACGGATTGTTGAAAACAACTCTAGCTTTACAAAAATTATTACTTTAATGGGACAGAAATACCTGGTGCCACCAAAAAGCAGTTTTCTTTTGTCTGACATTTCTTGCATGCATCCACTTCTGAACTGTAAGTAATTATTATGTAATTAGAAAAATAAATTTTTCTGTGGCCTCAAAAGTTAAGAGCTAGTCAATGCTGAATGAGGGTCAACATTTTATGAGAATAGGGTAAACACTTAATTTTCTCTGTCTGATTTTTCTTTTAAAATTCTAAAAGTGCTGACTTTGAATTAAAAAAATTTTTAAAAATATGAATTATGAACAAAGGGTCAAAAAGTAATTAGTCCCCATGAGAGCAAATACAGTTGCTGCTCTGTAGTTAGGAATTCAGGTTACAATTGGTTTTCGCCAAACAACTTTATGTAAGATTTTTAAAAAATTAAAAAAAAACTTTTTTTGAGAGAGACGCAGAGTGTGAGTGGGGGAGGGGCAGAGAGAGAGGGAGACACAGAATCAGAAGCAGGTTTTAGGCTCTGAGCTGTCAGCACAGAGACTGACGTGGGGCTGGAACCTACAGACCATGATATCATGACCTGAGCCAAAGTCAGATGGTTAACCAACTGAGCCACCCAGGTGCTCCTAAACAACTTTATTTAACTTTTCTTTGTAGCAAAGTAGAAATACTTCAGATATGAATATTTACACCCTAATCTTCTAGGTTACATATTAAGCTAATGTTCAAGTTTATCGTCTAAAATTTCTTGAAATATTTTCCTGTATAATGTTAACACAATTTAAAGATTGAAGTCCACAGCTGAATTTGAATTTAGATTCTGAAGCTTAACTGTTAGTCCCTGGGTCAATAAAAAGAGCCTTGGTTTCCTAGTTTATAAAATGGATATGATAAAAACCTACTTTTGGAGGCTATTTTGAGGTTTAAGTGAATTAATCTGCATCAATTGCTTATGTCAGGGTTTTATATATATATAATATTTAATAAACTATAACTATTCTAAGAGATAGGATAGGAAAGAAGTATATAAATATGCTATTTATTCTTATTTGGACATTTAATAGCAAAATTGTATGATATTAGATGACATAGTTCATTAAAGAAAAGCTTCTTTTAATTGCTCTGAAGCCATGTTATACATGATTGGTTATTCATGTCATAAATTCTTCAGGGTAGATAACAGAATAATAAATTAATGGGAAAATTATGCTATGTTTGAATGTTTTCCATTCTTTTTTATCTTTGTCACTCTAATAGTTTAAAAACCATTACTTCCTCATTTTAATTTGCACTGTTTTGATTATGTGTGAAATTCTAAATTTACCAAAATGTACCCAATATTTATAAAAGCAGAAAGGGACAGCTGTTCTTTAATATAAAATTCCAATTAATAAATATGGGTGGATTGATAGAACTAGAAAGTTTCTATTAGGCAAACACCATAGTAATTGGACGTCAAAATAGTAGGTGAAGAGATGAGACACGGGATATTTGCATAGTCTTAAAGTATCTCCTTACATGATACTTACTAATTACAAAAGGAGAACTGGAGAAACCTGGTAGGCAGCACTTTAACGAAGTGATTAAAATTAGTATCACCAGTAATGAGACATTTTGTCATCTGTTATTTCCTAATTACTGAACCCAAATTAGGAGACATTCTGTAAAATAAATGGCCAGTAGCCTTCAAACTGTCAGGGTTATAAATGACAAAAAAAGGCAGGAACTTTCCCAGATTGGAAGAGATTGAGGACACATGGGAAGTAGATGCAATGTGGGATTCTGGTTTGGATCCTGGGCCAAAAAAGAGGACACTTGTAGACATTGGGGAAATTTTATTATGGTCAGTATATCAGTTTTAAGTTATTTCAAAAGGAAGTTTAAAAAAAGTAAAGCAAAAAAACAAAAAAATCAACCCCATTTAGATTTGAAAGGACCATATTAACATGGCTGCAAAGATTTATAGAGCATTTACAGATGCTTGGTATCCAGCTAAGTGAGCTGTAGTTATTTTCAGGTAGTCTTTGAAAAAATAGCAATAAGTGAAATTATGTTAAAATCCCAGTGGTACTAAATTATGAAGGAAATTTAATTTTTTTAGGTTAAATTCTTCTATTTGAATAGAAGGATTTGTGGCATTCCATTATATTTGTGTCTATAGTAAATGCATTTTAGTTTTTGAAGTGATCACCTATTTTTTGAAATACTTTGTATGTTTGTTTTCAGGTAGGAAAACATATGATGTAATTGTGATAGATCCACCATGGCAGAACAAATCAGTTAAAAGGAGTAACAAGTAAGAATAAATAAATTATCTATTAGATATGTTTTCTAAAAGGTATTGTCTTTTGTACATTCTAGTAACATATAATAAAAAGCATTACTTTGAGATAAGGTTTGTCTGAAACTGCTAAAATATTTTCATTTAAATTTTTGTTTATTTTAAAAAATATTTATATACATATGTATGTATGTATTTATTTAGAGAGCATGCATGAACCTAGGAAGAGCAAAGGGAGAAAGAGAGAGAGAATCTTAAGCAGGCTTCAAGCCCACTGTGGTAGCTTGACTCAGGGCTTGAGCCAAAATCAAGTGTCAGTTGCTTAACCATCTGAGCCACCCAAGCACCCCTTTTCACTTAAATTTTTAATTTCCCTAACTAGGTAATTCTCTTGAATTAGAACTATGTATAGGTATAAGAGTGTCACAGGTGGTATACTTATTAATGACTGAGGTTACTGACTGAACCAGTTCAGGGATATTCTGTAACACCAAAGGGCAACATTTGTGCCTTCTTTGATATCAAATTTTTAAGTTTGGAAATATGTGCCAAAATATGGGGATACCTTGTTTTATGGTGCTTCACTTTATTGTGCTTTGCAGATATTGCCTTTTTTTTTTTTAAACTGAAGGTTTGTGACAACCCTGGATTCAGCAAGTCTTTGGCAACACTTTTCCCACAGTATTTGCTCACTTTGTGTCTCTCAAACTTCTTCATTATATTTGTTATGGTGATCTGTGATCAGTGATTAACTCACTGAAAATTCAGATGATGGTTACTTTTTTTTAGCAATAAAATATGTATTTTCTTTTTTTAGAAATACTGCTATTGCATACTTAGTTGACTATAGTGTAAACATAACTGTTACATGCACTGGGAAACCCCAAAGTTAATTTGACTCGCTTTATTAAAGTGATATTAACTTTGTTGTGGTGGTCTGGAACTGAACCTGCAGTATCTCTGAGGTATGCTTCTATAGTTTTCCTCAGTAGCTACTATGAATTTGTCTAGTCCATCTTTAACTTTTTAAAATTTGTCACCTTTTTTGTTTATGTCATCTCTCAGAGTAGTAAGTTTAGTTATGGAGAGGACACTTCCTTTTTTTTTTTTTTTAATGCTTATTTTTGAGACAGAGGGAGAGGGAGACAGAATCCAAAGCAGGTTCCAAGCTCTAAGCTGTCAGCACAGGTCCCCAGGAGGGGCTCCAACACACAGACCATGAAATCATGACCTGAGTCGAAGTTGAACGTGTAACTGACTGAGCCACCCAAGTGCCCCTCCTTTTTTTTTTTTTTTTTTTTTCATGTTTGTTTATGCGGTGTGGGTTGTGGAGGGCCAGAGAGACAGAGAGAAATAAAATCAGGCCCCATGGTGACAGCACAGAGCCCAATGCAGGGCCCCATCTCATGAACTATAAGTCATGAACCGAGCCAAAATCAAAAGTCAGCTTTATGGAGGTGCCACCCAGGCACCTCAAGGACATTTCGTTTAATAGCTTTTTCAAAATTTTAAATTTTCCTCTCTTATACTACTGAATATCTTCAGTTATATTTCCTTTGAATGTTCAACTCTAGACTTGAACACTTCCTATTACCTTAACTTCAACTTAATGTGAAATTTCTTTATCTCCACAATTTTCTCCAGGTTTCTTATGCTTTTTTGTTTATGAGTTAGGATATTTTTCTCTTAAAGTTGCAAGAATCATACAAAGTGTTCATGTATCCTCTATGTGTGTGTTTGCATATAGATATCTATACATAATTTTTTCTAAACCATATGAAAATAAATTATTTAAGAGAAAAAGTAAGTTACTCTGAAATATTTCATTCTGTATTTCCTGAAAACATAGAAATTCTCACATATAATTGTAATGCAATTGTCAAAATAGGTAATGAACATTGATATAGTACTGTTATTGATATAGCACTAGTGTCTCATCTATAGACCTCATTCAGGTTTTACCAGTTATCCCAGAAATTTTTAACAAAATCCTGAATCATGCCTTTTATTCATGTACATATCTCTTTACTGTCCTTTAATTTGGAAGTTCCTAAGTCTTTTCTCAGAAACTTTTCTCAGGTGTTTCAGGAATTGACTTTTTTTGTTTTGTTTTTTTCTTTTATGTTTATTTTTGAGAGAGACAGAGCATGATCAGGGGAGGGGCAGAGAGAGAGGAAGACGCACAATCTGAAGCAGGTTCCAGGCTCCAAGCTGTCAGAACAGAGCTTTATGCAGGACTGGAGCTCGTGAACTGTGAGACCATTACCTGAGATGAAGTTGGATGCTTAACCAAGTGAGCCGCCCAGGCATCCCGGAAATTGACACTTTTGAAAGCAGCAATAGGAAAGTAATGTAGCATCCCTTGATGAGTCTTGCCCAAATCAGTTATTACTAAGGCAGTTGCCAAATGGTGATTGTATCTGTGTGCGTTTATTTTTGGGCTATCCAGTTCCATTGATGTATGTGTGTTTCTTTGTATCAGTACCATACTATTCTGATTAGAATAGCTTTTTAATATACTTTGAAATCAGGGAGCACAATACTTCCTGCTTTGTTCTTCTTAAGATCACTTTTACTATGTAGGGTTTTTTGTGGTTCCATACAAATTTTAGGATTCTTTGTTCTAGTTCTGTTAAAAATGCCTTTGGTATTTTGATAAGGGTTGCATTAAATCTGTAGATTGCTTTCTGTAGTATGGACATCCTCACAATATTAATTTTTTGAGTCCATGAGCACAGTGAATATTTCCATTTCTTTGTGTTGTCTTCAGGTTTTTCATCAATGTCATACTTTTCAGTGTACAGGTCTTTCACTTCCTTGGTTAAATTTTTTTTCCTAGGTATTTTATTCTTTTTGTTGCAGTTGTAAATGGGATTGTTTCTTGATTTCTCTTTCTGCTAGCTCATTATTAGTGTATATGAATGCAAGAGATTATATTTCTGTATGTTCATTCGGTATCCTGTGATTTCCCTCAATTATTTTATTAGTTCTAATAGTTTTTTGGTGAATCCTTATGGTTTTCTATAGATGATATTATGTCATCTGCAAGTAGTGGCAGTTTTACTTATTCTTTTTCAATTTGGATGCCTTTAATTTTTTTTTCTTACTTAATTAGTGTGGCTAGGGTTTCTAATACTATGTTGAATAAGTGGTGAGAATGGGTATCCTTGTCTTGTTCCTGATCTCAGAGGAAATGCTTTCAGCTTGTCACCACTGATTATGATGTTAGCTGAGGGTCTATCATATTTGGACTTTATTATACTTGGTATTTTCTTTCTTTATCCACTTTTTTAGGGTTTTTATCATAAATGGATGTTGTATATGTCAAATGCTTTTTTGCATCTATTTAGGTGATCATATTTTAGCTTTAATTTTGTTGATGTTGTATAGTATATTGGTAAATGCCACCAGATTTTAATCCTTTTAATGTATTGTTGATTGTGGTTTACTAATATCTGTGTTTATTGGAAATATTGGCCTGTAATTTCCTTTTTTATTGGTATATTTGTCTGAGTATTGGGGTTCTGCTGGCTTTGCAAAATGGGTTTAGAAACATTTCTTCCTCTTCAAGTTTTTGGAATAATTTGAGAAGAATAGTTACTAACTCCTCTTTACATGTTTAGTACATTATCATATATGAAGCAATCTTGTTTTGGACTTTTGTTTTCTGGGAGTTTTTAAATTTCTGATTCAATTTAATTACTTGTAATTGGTATATTCAGATTTTCTATTTCTCTGTGATTCAGTCTAATAAGCTTCTGTGTTTTGAGGAACTTACCCATCTTCTTAGGTTATCCAGTTTGTTGGCATATAATTGTTTTTAGTACTCTTCTGTGATAAATAGTCTCCTGTGTATTTCTGTGGTTTCAGTTGTAACTTCCCTTTCATTTTTGATTTAATTCATGTGAGCCCTTTCTTTTTTTCTTGATGAGCCTGGCTAGGATTTTTCAATTTTAAGTTTTTAAAGAACCTGATTTTAGTTTTATTGATCTTTTCTATTTTTTCTTTTTTTTTTTTTAGTTTCTATTTCAGTTTTATCTCTGATTTTTTTGTAAAATTTCCACTCTAAACTTTATTATTTCCTTCCTTCTACTAACTTTAGGTTTTGTTCTTATTTTTTCTGGTTTAGATTATATTGTTTATTTGGGATTTTTCTTGTTTCTTTCTCTCTTCTTCCTCCTTCTTTTTGCTGCTACAAGATGCTTTATTGCTCCTTCTTTCTACATCTCATGTCGGTTGTTGCTCATGGCCTGGGACCAACCTAACAGTCACTACCCAGCAGGCTGACACACAGACTAAGCATCCACAACTTCCCTTCTTTTCTGGAAAGCAAGAACCCTCATTTATTCTCCCAAATGCCAGCTTCAAAAGGCCTGACACACAGCTATCACAGTGTCCATTTGGGAAAACAGTTTTTTCTCCCTGGCCTCAAATGAAACCTCTTTTCATTTTAGTGCATGTTTACTCCAAATTACAGAATATTCAGTTATCAATAAGTAATTTGGTTTCCTAATTATTAGACCTGTAAACTTAAAAATTCTTCCCTCACAAACACCAAGTACCCTACAGCTGGCCAAATCTAAGGGATTTTTCTTGTTTCTTAGATAGTTTTGTATCACTATAAACGCCCCTCTTAGAACTGCTTTTGCTGCAATTTTGGAAAGTTGTGTTTCCATTTCCTTTTTTTTTTTTTTCAATTTTAGAGAGTGCAAGTGGGGGAGAGGGGCAGAAGGAGAGAGAGACAATCTTAAGCAGATTCCATGCTCAGTGCCAAGCCTGACATGGGGCTTGATTCCATGACCCTGAGATCATGACCTGAGCTGAAATCAAGAGTTGGACACTCACTAAGTCACCCAGGCGCCATGTGTGTTTCTATTTTCATTTGTTTCAGAGTATTTTTTGATTTCCTCTTTGATTTCTTTGTTTACCCATTGGTTGTTCAGTAACAGTTTTTAGTCACCACATGTTTATGGTTTTTTTTGTTTTCTTCATGTAAATGACTTTTGATTTAACTA